GCCTCTGTGGTCTGGCTGATCAGTCAGTTATTGGCATCCGTTCCTCGAGTGTAAAATGGAACTCCCTGCGCTTGTGCTCAGCACACACGCTGTGGTTAAGAATGCACCTGCTTGAGGAGGAATGGAAACAAAGCACTGGTGCCCCATAGAGGAGGAACCTGAAGCCGCCCTTCTCCCATAAATAAGTCAGGAGGTGCTCTGGGTCGGAGACAGCGCGAGGCCTATTTTTACTGCCACCTTACCCTGAAAACCCTGCTCTGAACCGCACAGGCCAATTTTAAATTCCACGTAAAACCCTCTCTCCCTAAAAGATTGTCTTTCAAAACTCAGAGATGCAAAGCAAGTTCCAGTCAAGTATTTCAGAAGCATCCTCTTAGACATCAACTCTCTTTTCATCGGATTGAACATCTGATTTTGAAGAATAACTCTAGTGATAACAAATAGCTTTACTCAGCCCACTAACTTGTCTTCAGCCACTGCCATGCGCACCTGCACCCCATACTGAGGGGTGACGAGAGCCAGGCATGGGTGGCAGGCACTACCCTTGAACTGACGGCCAGATTCGGGGTCTCTCAGTAAAAAAGGAATTTTCATCACGGTAGGGTCACACCCAGAAACTGAATTACATTTCCAAAATTTTCACCAAAATTATTCTCTGTAAAGTCACTTTCCTTAGCAGCACAGTGACCCGACTGTCTTATTCTTAGCACTGTAGTGAGTTTACATTTGGTCTCTAAATAGACAAGAGATGAAAGAGCAAGTAAAAGTCGGGGCCAGTACATTGTTTCCAGGACTGAAAACTCGGAGTGAAACTACTGTAATCTTTTCCTCCAAACCAAACAGGAAGCAGAGCCCTCCCCTCGGTATGACCGCCCTCACACTGGGCTCGGTATCTGCTGGGGGGAGGGCTGACTCCTCTTATCGCTGCTGACAGCAGCGAGAGCCTGGCTTGAATATGAATCAAAAGTCTGCAAGCCCCTAACATGAAAACATCAGCCTCTGAGAGAGAGAGATCTTTCCTAACAGTGCAGGATATTTGTGCTATTACACCACCTGGGAGAAAGGGCAGTGTATGATTTGAAAAGTAGCTAACTGAGCCCTAGCCAATTTGGTTCAGTGCATAGAGCGTTGGCCTGAGGACTGAAGGGTCCCGAGTTCAATTTCCCTCAGGAGCACATACCTCAGTCAGGCTCCTCCCCAGCCTGGGGCCTTGGTCTGGGCAACCGATCGATGTGTTTCTCTGATATCATGTTTCTCTCTTTCTCTCTCTCTCTTCCACTTTCTCTGAGAATCAATGGAAATATATCCTTGGGTAAAGGTTTTTTTTTTTTTTAAAGGTAGCTAACAGAGCTGTCCTAAAACAAATATCAGAGTTGCAACTGTAGTCAGGATTATCCGCTAAGTACATAGATTAAAGTTTGACCAGGAATGTCTACAATGCCAAACACGCCAACATAAAAAATTAAAAGCCTTTTGCCTTAAATACTATCAAAATGTTTCTAGGGAGTAACAATTATTGTATAAACTTAACAGGTCCAGGGAAATTTACTACACAACCCAGTGAATCCTCAGAAAGGACAGTGACTTTTTAGTTTACCTTTAAAGCAATCTGAAACAAACACGCATTGATCAGTATGAATATTAGAACTAATTGTAACAGCCACTCCGGATACAATTGTAACAGCCACTGATCAGTAAGTATCAATAATAGAACTACATTGTAACAGCCAGCCACTCCGGACACAATTCCTGTCTGTAAAGGCTAATTTTCAATTGTTTTGGTTCACTAACTTGGCTAATTTCTACAGTTCCTAACCTAACTTCCAAGTGTTCGTCAATTAAGGAAAGTCCCCTGTGCCCACTTGATGCAATGGTTCCTAAGAAGAGGTGTACATAATTTCCATGCCAAACCACACTACACTTTCAGAGATAACCAGGGGAAAAGGTGCTGTCCCTGTGACATAATGAAAATGTGCAAGCAGGAAGGTCTAACAAGCACATATATCACAGCACAATTTTAAATGTTATAACTTCTCAAAGTGACACAGCTTGAAAATGCAGAAGCCACTCCAACTTCCGTGATTCAACCAATGGGCATGATTCTAATAATTATTCATAGCACTTCCTTGCATGATTAAGAAGAATGCTTTGGTGAGACGGAGAGCCACCCTCCAATTCCTGATTCCAACATCTGAGTCATTTTGTATCAGATACACTAGCAATTGTGTTCTCAAATCCAGGTATGTATCACACCTATCAAAACCTTTTCCTTTATTACTTCTAAAGTCAATATTAGTACAGAGAGGCCCTTTGTAACTCAGGTATGTATTTTTTACAAGTATCCTACACTTTCTTCTAGTGTTCTATGATTTGCTTTATTTGCTCTTTTGTGAAAAAAATAAAACAAACCAGAAAAAAAGCTTTTTTTTCTGCCTATGGACTGAGGAAGAAAACTCAGACTTAAATGAAAAGAAAGAAAATTAACCAACAGTCCCGGCACTATTTACTGAATAATCCATCCTCCCTCCAATAATCTACAACATTATTTTAATCACATGTTCTAATTTTCCGTCTTGCAGCCAATTTACAATAATTATTATATGTATTCCTTGGTACAATCTTTTTATAGAAAAATTACTGGTATTTATCAGAAATTTAAGTGCACATACACTTTGACCCAAACATTATATTTTTTAAAATTCAACATATGGTAATACTACATAAGTACATAAATATAAAAATATAACACTGCTTACTACAATAGCAAAATCCTGGGAACAAGTTAGGCAATGGTGATCCCATAGCAGGTTTCTGGAACAGAAAACCGTTCAACCATTACAAAGAACATCAAATCAAAGGTATTAGATTAGAGTTCTACAAACTATTATGCTAAAAATAAAAAAGCAAGCTGCCAAATTAATGTCTTCATTTCCTTTTTAAACTGAGGGTGGGGGGGGGACACAGGAGTATGATATGAAAGAGATTGCGTACGGAGCCTACCTTTTAGTAAGCACTTCAATCCCCTTGAGAAATAAAGGTGACTTGAAAACAGATGGCTGAGTATTATTTCATTTCGGAATACAGCATTTTTAATAAAATAAGTTTTCAGCCCTCATCCACCTGCAGAACAAAGGGTCCTGGGTTCGATTCCGGTCAAGGGCACATACTTCGGTTACAGGCACCGAGGCCGGGCCCTGGTCAGGGCGTGTGCGGGAGGCAATGAATCGATGTTTCTCTCAAGTCTTTCCCTCTCTCTCTAAAAATCAATGGGAAAATATCCTCGGGTGAGGATTAAACACACACACACACACACAAATAAGCTATCAACTCCCATTCTACTCATAAGAATGTGAGAATGCGTACATCCCTACAATGCAGTATGTAACGTGTGATGCTTTCCATTACGGAGTAAAAACTTAATGCCGTAATTCAGGGGGAAAAGAATGACGCCTTCTAAACCGTCTTACCGGGCGGAAAACTTCCCTTCTCCCGCCTCCAGATAGCCTTCGAGAAGCGTGCAGGAGCGAGCACACTCAGGAAACAAAGTGGCGCTCTCTGTAATCTGGAAGCAAAGCATTCCTCCCCGGGAAGCCCCACCGACAGTACATGCTGTGCATTTATTTTAAAGTCAAAGCAAAGAAAAAAATGAAAAATAAATCCTTTTTTTTAAGTCATCATCAGATCAAATCTTATCTTTTGTTGTTCTTCCCTATCAAGTCAAAAGAACCTAATTAAAATCGTCCTTTTTTTCTTCTTCTTTTTTTTTTTTTTTTGATTAAAGTCTTCTTAAAGAAAGACTACTACATTCCTTAAAAAGAATTACCTAGGACTAAAGGTAACCAACCACTGTCTCCGGGCCTTATTATTGTACCTGCTCCCAGATACTCTGAATGAACATCTCAAATAGAAAAAGAAAAACACAAAAACCTAACACCACAAACTGCCCAAGTACTCCCATCCTCTTTCCAGCGGTGAATTTTTCTAAGGGGGAGACGTTTTATACTCTTCACACCTCTGTATTCCTGAACAACAAGTAACTTCTTTCTGGTGGAAGAGATCACAGTGTACAAAAGAGGATTTTTTTTTTCTTTCTCTTATTCTTCGAAACAAGGTTTCGAAGCGCCCAGAAAACAGCATAAGACTTCAAAACGCATAGAAGCAGGGGGAAAAAAGAAGAAAAAAAATGGAGAAAGAACAGTGTTTTTCCCCCCCCTTTTTTTCTTTTGCTGAAACTCACAGGTCTTTGTTTTCACTTTTTTTTTTTTTTTTTTTTTTTTTTAAGTTTCATCTCCTTGTCCATTCGGTAGGAGGGCGTTTGGTGTTAACTTTTTTCGAAAGTTTTCAATTCAAACAAAACTATTAAAAAAGTGGTGTTTTTTTATTATTTTTTAAAAAATTTCTGTATTAAGCTATCACCTATTTGTCCTTCTTGCTTTGTTTTGTTTTAATTTTCAATGTTGCCTTCGATAAATAATACAGGACGGGAAGAAGAGGGAAAGAAAAAAATAAAAAATAAAATAAAAAAAAGACTACCTCCTGTCCAGCTGAGTGTTTTACAGCCTCAATGCCTTATCGCCGGGGCGCGCATTCCACCGCGGGTGACATCAGATCGAAACTGCACGGTTTCGCCGGCACCGAACCTCCCGTCCCTCCGATCGCACGGCTACCGGGCTCGCTGGCGGGGGACCCCCCAACCCCCCAACCCCCCAACCCCTGGCCTCGGTTCCCCCGCCTCCCCTCCCCGCCCCCCCCTCCCGACGCCCAGAGGTTCCCGGGCGCCGGACCTGTTGCGCGTCCCCGCCCCGCCCGCCGCGAGCTCCGCGGAGCCTGGCACCGGCGCCCGCGGCGATGCACCTGCCCGACAGGGCCCCGCGCCCGCCGCCCCCGCCCGGCCCGGAGCGCCCGCCGCCGCCGCCCGCGGGGAAGAGGAGGACGAGGAGGAGGAGGGGGAGGGCGGGGCGCCGGACGGACCCCCGGCGGCCCCGGAGGCGCTCGCTCACCTTGGCGGCCGCGGCCCTGGCCGACATCTTGTCTCCCTCCGGCGCCGCGCGACGCTCCCCGGACCCGAAACTCCGCGCCAGCGGCCCGCCGGCTCCTCACGCCGCGGCGGCCCCGATAAACATCTCCCGGGAGCGAGCGAGCGAGCGAGCGGGGCTGGAGCCGGGGAGTGTGGGGGGCGGGGGCCGGGGACAGGCCGGGAGGCCCGGCCCACGGGGAGGGACTCAACTCGGACAAAAGTCCGGGGAACGCCCGCCTCCGGCCCGCCCCGCCCGCCCGCCCGGTCCTCTCTCCGCGGGGCGCGCCCGGCCGGCGCCGCCCTCCCGCCCTCTCGCCCGCCGAGTGCGGCCGCGCCGCGCGGGCCTCCCCAGCTCGGGCTGCCCGGCCCGCCGCGTCCGCCCCGCAGCCTCCGGGGACCCGCTGCCGGCCCCGCGGACCGCCCGGAGGGAGGCTCCTCGGGAAAACCGGCCTCAGCGCAACTTCGCGGGAACGACGCACGCGCAGCGTCGGCGGACAGAGCCGGCGCCGGCAACTGCGGGCGGCCACGCAAACCTGCCGGCGCGGCGCGGCCCACTGAGCATGCTCGGCTGGGAGGGGGCGGGGCCACGCTGGGGAGGCAGGGGCGCGTCGGGGGCGTGGTTTCTGTGGGGCGGGGCGTGGTGGGCGGGGCCAGCGCCCCCCCAGCCCCCGCCCGCCCGCTTCCTGCTGCAGGACGCCCCCCCTGTCGCGGAAGGAAAAGGCCAGTTTCCCGAAGTCCCTGGGAGTAACTGGGAGGCCTGGTTTCCGCTGGCCCCGGGAGTCTTCCTGTTTGTTTGTTTTTACTGAGGGTCCGGCGGAAATCGCCCCCAAGCAACAAGCCCCTGAGCCTAATCCTTTAAAAAAAAAAAAAAAACTTTTAAAGATGCTTATGCATTTTGTCCTCAATCAGCCACAGCCCCTGCACCCCCTACCTGTGCATCCTTCCTTCACCTGGGAAGTAACGGTGCTCACAGTTGCACCACGTGTTGGGGGCCTGCTGATCCATGGGAGGCTACATGCCTGTGATGTGCAGTGTGTGTGTGTGTGTGTGTGTGTGTGTGTTTCTTTCTGTAAAGTGCACCCTGGCCCTCATCTCTGAGGAACTCTTAACAAGGTCAGAATAATTACACTTAATTCTCAACAACCCGAAGTGACCTGAGTAAAACTGGTAATGAGGTCATGGGCATTCCGGGCAAGCAGGCTGGTTCAGTCACATTAGGCCCTCGAGGTCTATCCAAAGTCTTTTTCTCCAAGTGCAACAAGCCAGGTCTTAAAAAACTACAGGCTGCCATCAAAAAATGCTGGAATTCTTGCCCGGCCAGCATGGCTCCATGGTTGCGCCTTAACCTATGAACCAGGAGGTCACGGTTGGACTCCCAGTGCGGGCACTTGCCCCCATCCACCCCCCACTCCCAGCTGCAGGAGGGATCCCCAGTGTGGGGTGTGCAGGAGGCAGCTGATCTATGATTCTTTTTCATCATACATATATGTATTTTAGGCTGAAATTCTTAGTAGTGAGTGAAGAGGGGGTCTCTGGCTGCCTTGCAATTCTAAACCCAGTTCTTCCAGCTCAGCCAGTGCAAAGACATGCCGTCCACAGTCCAGTTTACTGGGCCATTACTCAAATTGCCCATCGTGCTTGTTGGCGGGCGGCCTTGATAAACACCAAGGAACATACATGCAAAGAAGCGTTCCCTACACTCTGTAAAATGCGCAGCTTCTCACACAGGCCAGGAATTCTTAGTAACCTTAAATGATAACGTCCTTAAGGAACCCAGGACACAGCCACTAAAGGTACACGAGAGCTGGATAGAAAGCATACACATCAAGTTCCATTGAATGGCTTTCTCTTTTGAACTCAGTGGTAGGAAAAGATCACACTTATCTTAACCAAGAAGTATCTGTGTGTCACACATGAACAATTAAGATTTTTCACTATATAGTACCACATATTCTGCAACCTGAAGCCGCCTGAACCAGGATAAATGGCATTCTTCAAATCAAAAGCCTTATCACCCCTCTAAGCCCCCTTGCCTAGAAATGGTTAAAGTCACTTTTTTAAAAGGTCATGTGTGTATTTTTCTTTGTTTTTAGACAAATTGTTATTTCTACTTATAAGAACTGTAATTAATATGTCCTTATGAACCAATGCTGGTGTGTTTTTTTTAATTGATTTTTTACAGAGAGGAGTAGAGAGGGATAAAGAGCTAGAAACGTCCATTAGAGAGAAACATCGACCAGCTGCCTCTTTCACATCCCTTACTGGGGATGTGCCCACAACCAATGTACATGCCCTTGACCGGAATCAAACCTGGGACCTTTCAGTCCGCAGGCCGACACTCTACCACTAAGATAACCTGGTTTTGGCCCAACGCTGTTTCTTATCAAGGTGGGAGACTTTTTATTTTAAAAGGTAGTTGTGGCCCTAACCGGTTAGGCTCAGTGGGTAGAGCGTCGGCCTGCAGACTGAAGAGCCCCGGGTTCGATCCCAGTCATAGGTCACAGAGTACCTCAGAGGCAGGCTGGATCCCCGGCCCCAAGGGGGCCCATTGGGGAAGCAACCAATCAGTGTGTCTCTCTCTCACATCGATGTTTCTCTCTGTGTCTCTCCCCTTCCCTTCCACTCTCTCTGAAAATCAATGGAAAAACATCCTGGGGCGAGGATTAATAAAAAAATAGTAATAATGGTCAAACACTGTGGTCAGAAACTAACAATACTGCCCCATCACTTTGGTTTGTTTTGGGGGAGATGCTTTCACTAAGACGTGGAAAGCAGAATTCAGCTGCCCCTTTAGCAGAGTTTACCCACGAAACACCAAAACAGTGTGGATATTCTACCACAGAGTGAAGGCTGAGGTAGGAGAATGGTTAGAGCTCCTCCAGGCTTCCGGTTGGGAAGAAATACGTGCACGCCTGAGCTTCTCCCCCAAAGTCACGCTTCCCCCAAGAACCTCCTTCGGTTCCACGGCTTTATCTCACGTCTGATCACCGCATGCACACTGAACAGGAAGCGAAACAACCACAACACTTACAGAGACAACTTCCTGTGGGATTTTTGGTGTCTGCGGCTCAGAACGAAGAAGAAGAAAAAATCACACACACACACAGCGTGTGCAAAATCTCTGTGAGCCTTAGAATGAGCCACGTAGCAAAACGGCACACACACATGTTACAGGTTTATGTTTTTTATGTATGTATTTCCGTTACAAAATATATATATATATATATATCCTTAGAAAGAAATATTTACATTGTTTCGGGCCCGAGCTAGGAGTGTGTGTAGGAAATGCAAAGGGGAAGTACCAGAACACCGTGACAGAACAGGAGGTTCTCGATTATGTCCCAGGGGAGAATCTACGACATACATGGGATCTCCAAATTTCATGCACCGGGCCTCTAGTTTATAAGAACGATCTTTTAAAATAAGCAAGATATAGAAAAGTTAGTGCAACCCCACTTAAAAAGAAGCAAATACATTTTTTATATTTCAAATAACTTTTAAAAGGAAGTAAAATATCTACATTTATTTGCAAAAGTGACAGTGGAAGGTCAACTTAGAACAAATCACTGGAGAGGAAGAGGACATTGATAATATAGACTTTTTTTTTTTTAATAGATTTTTATTGATTTCAGAGAGAAGAAAAAAGAGAGCAACACGACCATCTGAGGGAAAGCCACCCGGTTCATCCACACTAAAGCAACGTTCTCTTTGGCTGACAGAGGGTGGACACCGATGGTGAAAGCATTGAAAACTGCATGAGGGGCGTGGCTCACGCTCCAGTGGGCTCCACCCCCAGCGTGGGATGTGCAGGAGGCAGCCAGTCTGTTATTCTCTCTCGTCCTCATTAATGTTTCTCTCTCTCTCCTTCTCCCTTCCTCTCAAATCAATTAAAAAAAATTTTTTTTAAGAAGAGCATGAGTTGGATAACCTGGGAAAGGTCTTCTGGTGCAAAAGCGGCCTCATGGGGCCCTAACCCGTGTGGCTCAGTGGATAGAGCATCGTCCTGCGGACTGAAGGGTCCCAAGTTCAATTCCGGTCAAGGGCATGTACCTTGGTTGCAGGCACATCCCCAATAGGGGGTGTGCAGGAGGCAGCTGGTCAATGTCTTTCTCTCATCGACGTTTCTAACTCTCTATTGCTTTCCCTTCCTCTCTGTGAAAAGTCAATAAATTATATTTTAAATAAAAAGTGGTCTTGTGGGCACAACAGAAGTGGGGTCCCACAGGGGGCTGGTGGGTATGCGTTGTGGGGGGACCGAGGCAGACTCACCCTAAGGGCCTTGCTAGCCATAGCTCTCGGGGCTCTGAAGAGTCACCGGCCGAAGCTCTTGTCCCTCCCTGACACGACCAGGCCAGCGTGGGCTGTGGCTCTTTGTGGGATCGAACCCACGGCAGAAAGATAACATGTTATCACGCTCCATACTCTGTCTCCGGGACAAGCTCTAATTTTAAACGTGATTAATACTTCCTTTGGTGAGTGCGTAGTCCATGGAAATGAAAAGCTATATGAGAGCTGGGTGCATTCAAAAACAACACACACACACACACACACACACACACACACACACACCAGGCTGGGCTTCAATGTGTGTGCGTGTGTGCGTGTGTGCGTGGTGTGAGTGAGAGAGCGAGAGCAAGGGTTGTGTTTTGAAAGGGTGTGGTTTCCTGACTCCTGGGGTTGAGTGGAAACATTCTTGAGCCAAATGCATTTCTCCCCGATCCCGAAGGCAGGAAGAAACAGGCACCTAAAATAGCATAAAACCCTCCTTGCACGCACGTATAATCAATGCAAGTCAGCTGAGACGTGTGGGCAGCACCCCACAGTTCTCCTCCGAATTCCTTTCTCAGAGAGAGTCCAGGCGGTTGGACTGGAACATTGAGCAACACAGCCTGCTTTCCACTCATTCATTCATTTTCCGCTGTTCAGCACGTTCTTTGTGTCATCTCCTCGCCCGAGGGCATGCTTTGATTGATTTTAGAGAGAGAGAGAGGGAGGGAGAGAAGGAGAGGGAGGCACACGCATCTTCTCTCCCCCGCCTCACCCTCAATCCCTAACCTCTGGCCACCACAAATCCACTCTCTGTCTCTATAATTATATTCCTTCAAGAATATGACATCACTGGAATCACACAGTGTGTGACCTTTTTTTAATTGGTTTTCTCAACTCAGCACCATTTCTTGGAGGTTTATACACGTTGTTGCATGTAAGACAGATCGCTTCCTTTTTTTAAAAAAAATAATAATAATATGTATTTATTGATGTCAGAGAGGAAGAAAGAGGGAGAGGGAGAGAGAGAAACACCCATGATGAGAATCGTGGATAGCCTGCCTCCTGCATGCCCCTTACTGGGGATTCAGCCCACAACCTGGGTATGTGCCCTGACTGGGAATCGAACCGTGACCTCCTAGTTCATAGTCTGACACTCAACCACTGAGCCACACTGACCTGGCAGTTCCTTCCTTTTTATTGCTCAGTAGTATTCCACTGTGTGGATGTTCTGACGTCACCATTACCCATTGGAAGACATCTGAGTAGGCTCTCGGGACTAAACCT